AAAGCACTTGCTCTGACTGGGAATCATACTGGTGACCTTTCACTTTGAGGGATGACACCAAACCCACTGAGCCATATATAAACACACACATACATGTCTACCCTCACCCTCGCTGAATGTACACATAGACCACCTATCCTACCTTACTCGTTACATATAAAGCCCTAATCATACTGAATATTCACATGCTTATCTGCAACTATATTTACACAAACAACATGGGTCTGAATACAAATGTACAACCAATATACCACCCAGATGTACACAATGAATACCTGAACACACAGTCACTCTAAAACCACCAACTATAGAGTTATGCCATGTGCCGCTGCCCCCCATCAAAGATCCACAGGCAATTTCACCGCCCTAAAAGCACATACTCCATGATTCCTGAACACACCACACACACTCACACAACCCACAAAGTCTCTTGATTTCCAAACACACAAAGTGAGCTCTCACATCCCCAACAGTACACACACCTTAAGTTCCAGGAACTCAAAAACATACACAACCACAAACAACCTATATTTATCAAATACATGTAAGTCCACCTCACAAAAAATTAGAGGACACATACAAGCAATGCCACCAAAATTCTGCAAGCATTACATTCTAGATTACACACAAAGAGTACCCTAAAACTTCAGATATACTCACCCATCCCAAATGTACACCACAAACCACTCGTGAATGTATGTACCTCATGTGCTCAGATAGATACATGCAAAACACAAAAACACCAAAAAATCCCTCAACTCCCACTAATACACATGCACAATTCTCACATCTATGGAAACACACACAGGCAAATGTTCACAACCTGGAAATAAACAGATCTCTCAAGCACTTTACATTATCTACCTCTTCAGAATACAATCTCATCACCTCTTCCCTTCAATATAGATATTTTTCTCTAGCCTAATCCTAAAAAGACACAGACCTCTGCTTACTACCTACTACCAAACACTCGTGGAAACGCTCTAGTATTCTCCAAAGAGATACACCTTTGAACATTCCTAACATTCCCATTAACCCTATGGACAAACTGATAATTCATGCACCTGGTGAATAGATGGGAAACACAAACCAGTATATATGGACAAGACACAGTAATAAATCCACCAAACCATATAAGCAACAACTTCCAGCTACCAAATTATCTCTAGCTAATAAGAGTAAGCTCTTACATCCACAAGTACTAACAAATGACCATACCACACACCTCTAATACAAACATGATCCTCCCACTTTCCTGTGTAAACACAGAAACCCATCTCTCCATCAAATACACACACAGTCACTTCTCAAAATATAAAAGCCTAATAAGAGCCCCCTACTGAAAAATACAAACACACAGCTCCAGCAAATATGCCTTCAAACAGCCATGCCCCTTGAATATACACACAAACTCAGTACACACACAACTCTACACAAGCCCCCAATATACCCCACAATTACCCAGGGCACTACAAATATCAACACGAACCACCCTCTACCGTATGTCTCAAATACACATATACTGCCACACTACCTACACACACATACCCCCACACTCCCAAATTCTCACACAGAATTAACTCCTCCATCTTGCACAATACAGAATCACACAAACACTTCATCACACTCGCATATACAACATCCACCGGTCTTATAAAATGGGCTCAGATTTGCCCTCTACACACTCAAACAGAAATAGACAGCTCCTGAAAAATCACAAAAAGAAATACCCGAAACCATACAACGTGTCCTGAATACACAATGGTCCTCTACATTCCCCAAACACAAAAGGATCATACCTCCAGGCTGATGAACACAAGCACTTTTCCTAACATTGCCCATGCGCAAATGCAGATAACCCTTTCAAATCGGCCATTAGAGAGATCCCCAATTCACAGGAGGAAAAAATCCAGGGGATGTTCATCTCCCCAAACACCACATTACAAACACCTAATGGCCGGCTCCTGGAGTATGCCTGCGACACATCCTACACCCTCTCACAAACACACACAACATCCCCTTAATCACAAACAACCACCGACAAAACGGACTCACACATCTCAATACATACCAGATTCCCTCCGACCAAGAAATCGACCCACACTTTTGAATGCACCCATCACATTCCCTCCAACCGAAAAACGGACTCACGTATTTGCAGACACATATTGCATGGCCACCAACCAATTAAATATGCACAAACCCCCACCTATGCTGGCAATCCCACGATTTGGCAACACACTGCATTACTATCAGATCCAGCAACGTCGCTCACTTCTTTGGCAAGAGTGTAGTTTGAACGAAATTGTTGGTTGAGATTTTCACGCTAAGGAAGGCATCGGTGAAACTGTGAGGAAGTAGGTGAAAGCTTCCCCTGTCTGCACTCGTTTTCAAGGCCTTCAGCTACTTCTTGCTGAACTGGAGGACGATGTCCAAATTTGGAAGAACTTCCCCAGAGCTCTCATACTATTCTGAATGCAGGGGACACAATGAGCCGCGGAGTTCCATACCTCACACGCTTATTATCCCACCAGCCAGTCACTAAACCGACTCTGCAGCTGGTTCCAGTGTGGCTAATCCCCTGGTGTCAACAACACCGGAACTGAGCTGGTGGGGGGGTAGGAAAAGAGACCTGGGTCACAAACAGCCCACAGCTTGAACAACACCGAGGAGCCCTGACGCCTGAGGGCACAAACCGGACGAGCATCCCTACCTCACTGCTTATATAACTGACTCCGGAGGCCGCCTGGCAGTCCCGACAACGCCCAACCTGGAGGGGCGTTGGGCACCCCAGCATCCAGGCTCGCGCATGCGCACCTCCAGGCCCAACCACCGCAACGAACGCTGGGAGCTGTTGCAGGACGTTGGCACACGCTTCCCGCGTGCCCCAGTGCGCGTGCGCGTAGGTGCAGGCGCGAGGTCCCCTGGGAACGTGGGACTCCCTGGGAAGCATCTCCTGGAAATCCTCCTTCCCCTCCTCCTCCTCCTCCTCCTTCCGCTCTTCCTCCTCCTCCTCAGGGAGCTCCCTGAGGAGCGTGTGTAAAATGTGCACTTAGGGCTTTAAAATCGCAAATGTGCAAGTTTAAGCACCGCCCTTGGGGAAGAGTTTTGGAGAGGTCTACCTAAAGCACTTACCCACAGATTGGCGCAAGTGCCTTCATGCCCAGTGGACTGCATTTCTGTGGATTCTGAAAACGGTAGGTCCTCAATCCTACCAAGTCTGGATGTTCCATTTCACAATTCTGGCCAAGAATTGCAGACCTGGGAAACACTCTGAGACATGCTTTCCCATCATTCCATTCCTACAGTTTTTCAAACCCATTTACTGAACTAGAATATTTTTTTTTTTAGTATATTTACTTGGTATGTGAAAGTTTTTCAATATATGATGGTTCATCGATGCTCCCTTTGCAAGGCTGTTGTTACAACATTGATCAAGATTTGGCAGTCTGGGAACGACTTCACTCACCTGTCCCTCCTTTTTCACATTCTTTTGCAGACTTTCAGTCGGCAATACAAGACATATCTATAGTAGCAGAACCAACCCGGGGACTTGAATTTGTCCTACTTTCCAAAGAAACTGCAATCATCATCACATCCTCTCTGTGGTCATGTGCAGGATGAGACCATTTCTCGCTCCACGGGATAACCCTGAAGATCACTGGCATCTAAGAACACTAAGCTTCTCCAAGTGCACAGACTGAAAACTCCACAAGACACAGGCATGGGACCTTGCCATTCCTCTAATGTTCAAGGTTTCCCCATGATGACAGTTCAAGTCCTGAGAAATATCTTCAAGTCGTTTCTTCTTTCGACCCCCGCGGTAGTTTTTTACAAAATAAAATCTACCATGATTTTGCTTGAATTGCTCTCACCTCCCCTTCTCGACTTTTTCTGAGTCAATCTTTCCTTGTCGGGGTGGGGGGCAGTGGTGGTGGTGGTAGCCAGCAATGTCTTAAGTGCCATAGAGAATCTTTTTCAGGGAATGTTCTCAGTGTGCAACAGTCAGTCCTTCACCCTCCCATCAGTGGGAACTGTGCAGCTACGGCAAGGAGTGAAGCTTGTCTCCCAAGAGATACGGTCGTAATCCTCCAACGTCATCACCCCTCATCTCCCTTGGCCGATTTCCTAACAATCCTCTCCTTTCACAGCACAACACACAAATGCCTGTGCAGATAATTTTGACAGTGATAAACTGACATTTATGCACGGTATGAAACTAAGAATCAAACAAGTTTTTGTAAGGAGTGCTACCATGATTCACACGCAGATGTAGGCTACAGGGTCTTCCCCTGATGGACTGGAGCAAAAGGGATGGTTCCTAAGGCTGGGCTGGCTGCAGTCTCTAGAGCTTGCGGCAGTGGACAGTACTTGCGGCCACAGCACTGTTTCCTAAAGAATGACGTGTACCTGTTGGATCTGCCGAGTCACTCCTGAGTTCAAGCCCTGGGCTCCATGTGCCCATACATAAGTACCTATTATTTTTGGGGGGGTTATACATTTGAATTTTATTCAGAGAGTGCAGCCTGTGTTGAAGTAAGTCAAGAGCCAGAGAAGAAGCAGGTTGAGGGACCCCAAGCCAGGTTGATGGATCAAGGACTGAAATAAGGGAACATCAAGTAAAGCCTTTGTGCTGAGAACCTAAAAAAAACCCCAACAACAACAACAAAAAACATGTATAAATAGCCTAAAGAGGCACACACCATTTCTGTTGCTACCTAATACTTGACAGGAACTTCTAGTTCTTGCCTACCTGCCGGAGCCCTCCATGGAATATCTGCCCTCCCCCCCCACCCCCAGCACACTCCAGCCTACCAGGCCTCGGCCCCTCCCCCGCTGCGGAATGTCTGGAGCCCTACATTCTGCTGTTTAAATTCAAACTCTTCCCTCCACTGGATGCTGAGCATCTGTTGGAGCAGGTCACTCTCTAGTTCCTGTACTGGAATTTTCTCATTGCGGAGGCTACTCGGCAGCAGTGGTCAGTGTCTCAGCCTGCGAGGATGACTTCAGAAGGAGGTGAGCCTGTAGGTCCAAGGGGAAATTGTTTTAGAGACAGGGCTGCCCCTCAAAACTTGGGATTAAAATGTGACACTCCCACTGGGGAAACATAGTCCGGACTGAAGGAGAGGAAGGAGAGAGCACTGGACCTCCACAGACCTGTCACCTGGGGAGGCTGGGAGCCAAAGGAAACCTGTGATGGCAATGGACAGGAGGGCTCCTGAGATGGGGATCAGGATGACTCGGGGGACATGCCTGGGTGTGGAGAAAGGACAGCAGCAGGCACATGCATTCTGTCTAGAGTGGAGACAAGCCAATTCGACATGTGTGTATGGAGTAGTGGGTTAAGTTAGGTGGTGACACAGGGAGGGTCATGGGAAAGCCTATTCGTATGCCCTGTTCTTCAAGCACCTGGAGATTGCCCCACAGTATCTTTCTAAGGGACTTGGACTCAGTATACTAGAACTAATGGGGGCAGTGAGAAGACGTGGTGTTAGCCAGAAAGTTGTCCAGCGGGGCTGGCTGTGGCCAAGTCTACACTGAAATGTCCTCCCTGAGGGTGAGGTTGGAAGGTACTCCAACTGCTGCAGCCCACACTTCTCCATTCCGTCCAGCCCAGAGCTCACTTCTCCTCAGCCCAGGGAGCTGTTGTTTGTTGTCTTGTATTCCACAGGGCCAGGGCAGCCGGGTAACTTGCACCACTATAGGGCTTTCTTACTTGACTTGTCCTGAATTGTTCCCCCTTTGTGGCAACTCAGTTCTTCAAAGGGTTTGCTCATATTCCACATCACTGCTTCACGGACAGAAAACAGATGTGGAGCCTGGTTGGGTCTCCCATGGAGTGTCTGTGAAGGCGATTCCTTTTTTAAGGGGGGCAAGGGGAGTAGCACAGAAGCAGGACGATCTTCTGTATGTTGAGTAAGAGTCCCAGGACACCTGTCCTGAGTATTCAGGGGCACGTGATGTGTAGCTTCTTTTCCCACAGTAGAGTGCACATGAGGTCCTCGGAACAGGGATGTGTTCCAGGCAGTTTTGCCGCACTGACACCTGGCTCACGAGTCTCCACTTTCTATTGTTGGGAGTTGGCAAGGGTAGGACCACAGACAGTCTGCAGTCCCATGACCAATGGGACATTCTGGAAACCCATGGACAGCCCCAGTGTTCTCCGTCCCCTGGCCCTTTTCTAATTCTCTGCAGCCATTGCAGGTGGTGAAATGACAGAATCTGAGGGACACAATGCCTATGTCCCAGGTCACTGTCCTGGGAATAGAGCTCCTGAGGGTGGCGAACACCCTGAGAATGGGGGTGGGAGTGACAGAACCTGGTCCGTGTTAGGTGTTTGCTGTTGTTGCTTCTGACATACATGTGCATGTTGGGCTGGTGTGTTAAGGGGTTATATCAGGGTTCCTTCTTGTGGAGAGATGGATACTACTCCAGTGTTTTTGTGTTGTTATGCATGAGCAAGAAAGGAGAGCCATGTATTTTGAGGAAAAGGAGAACAGAGATGCAGATGGGGTCCTAATATTTTGGAGACTGCCTGTTCACAAAGGCACTTTGGGTGCCCAGTACTTAGCTGGGAGAAGGTCACTACCACTAGTGTGTCTGCCTAGGGTCATTTCCCACAGAGCAGATTCCTGCCCAGTGCCATGTCTTGGGAGACAGCCTGTGAGGCTGGCAGGGTCAGGTGCCAGGGAATCCTCAGGGGGGGCTCTCCGAGTCAGCGCTGGCTGGGGCTGTTTCTCCTCAGCAGACTGTGGTCGGGGAGCCTTAGCGAACGGGGGAGCAAGCACTCCAGTGGAAAAATTCTCGACTGGAGGTCAGAGCATGACAATGCCTTGAGGACATTGGCAGACTCCACTGTCCCCCCGCCCCCCCCGCCATGCAAATGGTGCTCTTCTGTTGATAATCACAGCTTTGATTCCCCCAGTGACTCAAAAGGAACCAAAGAGGCTCAGTCCTGTTTGCTGACTCTCGCACTCCATTCCCCCCTTCCCTTTGTCTCAACAGCACCTGCAGTGCTGGGAGCAGATGCGAGCATGAACCCTGGTGCCTCCATGACTCCTTTCACCACACTGCCCTTTCCCCAGCTGACTATTGGCCCTGAACAGCGGCCTCCTGGAGAGCAGCTCCCACTGCCCCTGACGACCCCATCATTCCCTCCTGGCTTCCCCCTGGGTTTGCCCAGTGCATCTCTGGCAGCCAGAGATGCTGGTCGTGGCCTCATTGGGACTGGGGCTTGCAACATCGTGGACCGGGTCAGGTCGGAAGTGGGGCAACCACAGCCACCCCATCGTCCTGAGACCATCGTCCTGACGCAGGCACCCCTCAACGAGAGTGCTCCAGGGGCCCTCTGTGGTGGTGCTGTGTGTCCTGCACCTCCATTCTTGGAAGCCTCGGCAGTGGAGACGATTTTGTCTACCTTGGCTTTGGGGAGTGCCCCGGCCGGCAAAGGAGGCTGGTGTCCCAGCCTTCCTCCGCAAGTTCCACCAACAACTGCACAGCTGGCCTCCATCATCCCCCCAGTGAACGCTTGGCCTCAGCTACCTGGGGCTTCTGGCAAGGGTGGCCTGGCCACCTCCCAGTCCAAGGCCTTGCCAGATGACTTCGGTAACCCCAAGAGCACGTATGAGGACTTCCAACGTTGGCGTCGCTTCAAGGTGCTGGCCCGTGGGCACCTTCCCCCAGAGTCCTGATGCAGAAGCTCTTTCCTGCTTTCTCATGTGAGTGTACTGGGCAGGGGCGCAGGGGACTCCCCTGGAGCTTTCACCTAACAGAAGAATGTGGGATGGACCTCCAGGCTGGCTTATTGTCCGGGGGTACTGGAGGGAAGGTCTGAGGGAGGTGTCTTAGCGACAGGGTGCAAGTGGGGGCTCAGCCTCAAGTTCAGGTTCATGAGCTGGTGTGAGTGTGCAGCAGCAACAACAGTAGCTGGAAAGTCTTCTTTTTGCACCCACAGATACCTCCTCCCTCACCTGCTGGAGCTCATGCTGGGTGGGGAGGTGGGAACGTGTGCTCCACACAGCTGGGTGCAGGCTGAGCTGTACACTGTGACTGACCCTGAGGTATTATTACAGCCCAGTGCTCCGGTCCCTGTCCTGCCTGAAGCCCACCATGACGTTGGAGGAGGGAATAGGGCAGGCCATGCAGGAGTGGGATCGCAAAAGCAACTATGACCGGATGACCTATTACGAGATGGCAGAAATGTGAGTCAGGGTTCTGGGTCCTGAAAGCTGTGTGTGTCTGGGGGCCGAGGGTCTGACAGCAGTGTGGGGGGGTGGGGACGGTGATGCGGGCTGACTGCAGGGCAGGGTCCCACTGTGAGGGTGCTCACCACAGAGGATGTTGTCGGTCAACACAGGGTCCCCACAGTCCAGAGGCCCTTGGCCCCTCTGCAAGCCTCTCCCTCACCTTTGGAGCGTGGGTTCTTCTGGGCTACCTCTGGCAGCTCCACCGTCCTCTGATCTTGAGCCATCCTTGGGTCGACACGAAGGCTCAGAGCAGGCTGGGATGAATGTGCCCAGCCCAGTGGGCTAAGACTCCAGCCAGAGGGGCCAGCCATGCAGGGCGTGTTTTCTAGCAGCCCACCTCCTGCCTCCTCAGTGGCCTGGGCCATGAGAGCCACAAGACACTTGCTCTCCATCCCTCTATCAGCTGCTGCCTTTGCTGGGCTTAGAGTGGCCTCCTCCTCAGTATGGCCTGTGCCTTCTTCACCCTCCAGGTTCATGGAGCTGGAGGCAGAGGAGGAGATGCAGATTCAGAAGTCCCAGTTGATGAAGGGGGCACAAGGCCTGTGTCCAGCAGCCCCACCGAGACCTGATCCTCGGGGACCCCCAGCCCTTGTGGTGGGTCCACAGCCAGGTACGGCAGAATGTTCCCACTGGAGTCTATGGCCAATGGCAACAGGGGCCCAGGACAGGCCAGGGTCCCCAAGTGTGTCCTTTCCCTTTGAGGGGACTTTGATCTTTCAAGTGGAACAGCCACAAGAGCCAGGGCCTCAGCTGCCCTTGGTCACCATGGGGTCTAGACCTGGTCAACTTTTTGCAACCCCTCTCCCACATCCCTGTAAAAGGACCCAACATGAAGTCTGCTAAGATACCGGCTGGATGAGGGCTCCCTTGGAGAATCAGTGGCTCCACAGAAGCTGACACATGACTCTCTTGGACACTTCCACCTGTCCTCTCCCTTCACACAGTCACATGGCTTCAGGTGGTCCTGACCCAGCCACACCCATTTAGATGGTGTGCCCTCACCATCGGATTCTCAGGATGGGGGAGCTGGAGCCCCTCACACTTCCTCCTCTTCCCTCTCTGCCCCAGTGTGCATTCCCATGGAGGACGTACCCAGGGTCCAGGGCACCTGCAGACCCCAGGGGACCCAGGAGACCGAGACGTCTGACGAGATCCCCCCTGAGGCCGTGCAAGAGTACATGGACATCATGGATGAGCTGGAGGGGCTGGCCCACTCAGCCACAGGGGACAAAGGTGGAGAACGGGAAGAGGACAGAAAGGAGTGGCAGCAGGGACAGGATGAGACTCACCTGGACCTGGGTCTCCTGAACTACATTGAATACCTGTGTTACCAGGACGACTATGTCACCAAGGTGGGCTGGCTCGGAGCTCCAGGGTCTACAGGATTCCAGGGAGTGGCACTGCAGCACCCAGAACTGGGATGTATGTGTGTGTGTGGTGTGCTATCTGTGTGCATGTGTGGGCTTGCCCTCTTGTGTTTGTATGTGTATGTGTTCTTATGTGAGTGTGTGTAGCTGAGGACCAAGAGGATGTAAAACACCCACCTTGTACAAGAGGGTGGGGTGGGTCTTTGCTTTTCCACTTTTCCTCCAGGTTCTGCTCACTTACAGGTTACTCACAGCCTCCTCCTTTTGTCCCAGGTGGAGGCCATTCCCAACCAACTTCTGAAACAAGTGGTTTCCATAGAAGCAATGCTGGACTTCCTGCCCGAAGCTGAAAAGATGGCACAGCAGTTAGGACTCCCTCCTGTCCAGGTGAGCCAGGGTAGGGAGGGAACTTAGGAAGATGGGAGGGAACTCTAGGTGAGCCATGGGAGGCAGGGACCCCAGGTGACATAGAGGATGGAGAAAACCCAGGCAAGAGAGGGGATGAGGGGCCCTAGGTGAGTCAGGAAGGAAAGGACACCAGGTAGATAAGCTGTTAGGGGACCCCGGGTGAGCCATGGGAGGGAGCCCCTGGTAAACCAGGGCCTGGAGCAACCCAGAACAGGGGTGCATGTGACTCTGTCCACCCCACCCCTGCCTATAGGCATGGCACATTGAGGGGGCCACCTCTGGGCTGTGGGCAGTGCACGATGGCTAGAAAGAGAGGACTATACAAAGAAGAGGGTGATAGGAAGGAGAGGTTGGGGAGCCCAGAAGGGGAGGGAAGGGCACAAAGCTGGGAATATGGCACAGGAGGATAGCAAGAGAGCCACGTGTCTGTTTTGGATTTGAATCACGGTGTCGCCCCCTGCCCTCCTCCCCACAATGCCACTGTCCCCATCACCCACACATCTCCGTCTCTCACACATGTGTGTGGAGACAATCACTGTCCTCCTCTTTTTCCCAGCTGGAGGAGGAGCGAGTCCTGTCCTCAAAGATGGAGGAGGGTGTGCAGGCACCCCCGAGTCACGGTGCACCCCAACTGGACTCAGGTCGTTCAGAGTCTGCGGCCAGCCAGGATGCCCAGAGGTGTGCCCTCGGCCCCCAGCTGGTCATCAGTGACAGAGGCTTCTCATCAGAGACTGACTTCAAGGGCCGTCAAAGGCAAGGTCGCGGAGATGCCCACCTGACCAAGCCCGAAGCCTTTGCTATCTCATCCGGACATCAGGAGTACCCGCCACTGAGGGCTCCACGCCTTTCCCTTGCTCCTCAGGTGTACAAGCGTGCTTACTGTAGGCGGGGGCCTAGGGCTGCCCCCACTCCCAAAGAGACCTCTCTTGTTAGGGAAAGTCTCAGGCCAGTGGGCAAGTCGGGTGAGAATGAAGAGGACCTCCCCAGCCTGGCCTTCCTCATGGCCTCTCCTAAGAACCTGCTGCCCTGTACTCTCTCTCTGAGTCCTGTCTCTGCCTCAGGCCTTGCCTGCCCTGGAGGTCGGGGGCGCCAGCCAGATGCCCAGGCTCAGGCCCAGGCCCAAAGAGAAAGAGTGACCAGTCTGTCACAGGGAGTTGGAGGAAGCGGCACTGCAGCTACTATGGAGCAGCGGCATGTCCCTCCTACTGCCAGCCTCAGACAAGATGGGGGTGCCCAGACCAGATATGACCTGGCTATTCCCCAGACGAGCCAAGGGCTCATTTGTCACCCAAGGGCTGACCCTGGCTGTTCTACTGACATGAGAGGGAGGGTGGGAGGCAAGGAGGGAGGGCTGGAACATTAGGGTGAGGGTGGGCCCGGGCCAAGCTGGGGTGGGGGTGTTCTACTGACATGGGGGGGGGGTGGAAGGCAAGGAGGGAGGGCTGGAACGTGAGGGTGGGGGTGGGCTTGGGCAAAGCTGGGGTGGGGGTGGGTGGGGAGAGCAGCACCTTTGGGGCATTGTGGATCAATTAGGAATAAAGATGGTTTTGTTTGGAAATGCTCTGGGGGCTGCTTTCTGCATACTTGGGTCTGTGCTGCTTCTCAGTGAGGGTTACCAAGAGGAAAAGGGGATGAGGAGGTCATGGGTGTTATGGATTCTCAGGTGACACTTCAGTCCCTGCTTCTGGTTTGCTGGGGATACCTTCCAACTGCTCCTGGGAGCACACAGATCCCTGATCCCCAGGGAGCCTTCCATCACCCCTACTCCCAAGGCTAGCCTAGGTGTCGGGCTTCCTGGGGCCTCTCGTCATGTTCTGTACCCCGAACCTTGTAGGGATAGGCAGCTGCTTTGGAGACTTTAAGCCCTCTGGGCCATAAACCAGTTTTCTGGGATGGACTGGAGTCAGCCTGGTCTTTAGGGAGCTTCACTCTGCTTCCCAGAAGCAGTCAGGCCAGGAGGCCACACAATCCTCAACTCTCCCAGAGTATCCTGTGTGAGTGGTCTGACTGGAGAGGAAAAGACTTGGCTTCAGGGGACAGCCTGTCTGCCTGTGTGTCTGTTTGCAGGAGAAGCGTGCTCCAGTCTCAGTGGGATGATTGAGTGTGTAGGGTGGAGTAGGCGGTGAGACTGGAATGAGGGGGTGACAAGAGAGTAATGGGTTGCCTGTGGGAGGTGTGTACATGAGGAAATAACAGTGAATGGGGAGGATACCGAGTCCCTTGCAGGATTTTGGTGTGGGAATATCTTGTCCAACTGAGGGAGGAGGACGCATCTGCTGTGGCTAGTGCACTAGGCTCAGTGCCCATGGGTCTTCGAGGACATCCCACAACTATTGTTTCTTCCCTCCCAACCATGGGCGTACTGTTGGGTGAAGAGAAGTTGACAAAGAATTACATTTGCATGGAAAACTGTTCCTACTAACACACAGTGACCCAGTTTCATTCGCAGAGCGCAACCAGCAGGGGCAGTAGGAGATGATGTACGGCCCCAGAGTTGGTGGAAGCTGGAGATCCAAGCTGACAGAGGGATCCTCAGTAGTCCTGCAGTGGGCACTAGTACACACCCCACAGTCAAAGCAGGGACCCAAACCGCAGATGTAAGAGTAATATGAGCAAGCAGTGAGGGACAAGAGCAGAGCCAAGGAGGCCCCTGTCTCCAGAACTGCCTTGCCCCAGCTCTGCTCCTACATGGACACACCCTTGCTCTCACCCCCTTCCCTCTTGCTCAATGCCTCTTCTTTAGGTTTAAAGTTCTGATTCCTTCCCTGGGCCCAGGTTGTGTCAGGAAGGCTGTGCCTCCCCGAACACGGTTCCAATTCCACCCAGCATGGAAAGCCGTGGCCCAGGGTGGTTGTCTGGCAGCAGGGGTGCGATGAGGCTGAAGCTGTCAAGTTCCACAGTGGGTGGTCTGGCCCCCCACAAAGAGCGTAGGCAAGAATGGACTCATGTCAGCATGGCAGGGCCCTCACTTACCTCCCACGGAATCACAGTTCATCCCTTGGGCCCTCCTGTGCTGCCTTCCCACCTCTCGTGCAGCCAGTGAGCAGCCTGCACATCTCCCAGGCCTCCTGGGCACTCTGTGAAGAAACTTCTCATCTTGGGCCATGCATTGCCCAGCTGCTGCCCCCCTCCCTGTCCACACAGAGTAATGGGTTCAGAGGTCATGCCAGACTCGGTGTATGTTGTAGGGCCGGTCCAGAAGCTGACACCTTTTCTGGGAGAGCGTCCTCCCCCATGTGCCCACTCCATGTGCCCCTGCCTGTGGTGGCAGGTGCTGGATGCAAATGTGGTGGGTGTTGGACAGAGCCTGGACCCCTCTGTTCCCGGGGGCAGATTAGTCCTGTGATCTCTCTGCTTTGCAGGGTGTTTGTGGTGGAACAGGGTAACACATCCCCCTCTCAGGGTTGTAGGAACACCGAGTGAGTCGTGTTGGAAGGGAACTTACTTGCTCCACCCCTGTGTGTGCTGGGCCCTCAGTCACTATCATCAGGTTCACACCTGGCCCTTGGGTTTCTCTGCATCCGTTCTCACTTGCTTGGCAGTTTCTGCTTTCGAGTCTTGGTTTGGATGAACAGTTCCCAGGAGGAGGCAGAATCTGAGCTCCCCCCCACCTCTCAGCCCTGTGAACCCTGAAATCACTCTGGGACAATTTCGCAGGAGGGACGACTGGAGGTCCACCACTGCTTCAATAGTGGGTGAGTCCAACTCCACCAGCCACGTGGAATCTTGTAGAGATGTGCACATTAGTCTTTGGAAAATACTAGGGTAGGTACAGTGGGAAGTAAAGAGAAGAAGCGTTTCATATCTTTGTTGTAGCCAACCTTCCATTTTACAGAACAACAAACTTGACACGACCCTTTGTGAGGACAGTGCATACATAAGGTAGGAATCACGGAGGAGTTACTAGGGACTGAAGTAGAATCTGTGGAAACCACAATGCCCTCCCAGCCAACCTTCACAGAAATCATGATGCTCATACAGAGAACATGCTCCCTGTGTGCTCAGTGCTCTCTGGTTCTCCACCTCCTCGGAGCTCACCTGGTGTCCACAGAGAGCCTGGGAGTGAGCCATGCTTCACCATTTTTCTGTGAGGAAAGTGGGCTCAGGAAGGTCAGGCAGCTGAGTGCCACAGGAACTGGGACTGCCTGGGCGGCACCATTGGGGTTTTTTGCTCCAGAGACTTCCTCCTCCTCCACTAGGAGTAAATCCCCTGGAGAAATCCATGGCATCTTAGGAGAAATCCCAGTGACACAGGAGCAAGCCCTGTCAACAGCCCCTTGGTTCTGAAGTGGTGTCTCATTGTGGGTTGAGGTTGAGTTTCCCTGATATCAAGCAACTTTTCATATGCCTATGAGCCATATACATATCTTCTTAGGAGCAATGTATAGTCATCCTTTGTTCATATTTAGTTGGTTTATTTGTCTTTTAGTCTTTTTTTTAAGAGATTTTTTTTATGGATTCTTTTTTAAAGACTTTATTATTTATTTGTTTGTTTGTTTGTTTATTTATTTATTTTGAGAGGGAAGGGAGGGAGAGAGAGAGAGAGAGAGAGAGAGAGAGAGAGAGAGAGAGAGAGAAACATCAATGCGCGGTTGCTGGGGGCTGTGGCCTGCAACCCAGGCATGTGCCCTGACTGGGAATCGAACCTGCCGTACTTTGGTTCGCAGCCTGCGCTCAATCCACTGAGCTACGCCAGCCAGGGCATTGTCTTTTATTCTTGAGCTCTAAGGGTTCTGTATACACTCCAGGTCAAAAAGGGTCTTACCAGAGATATGATTTCCACAAATTCTCCCATTTTGTGGGTTGTACTTTATTTTCTTGACAGTGTCTTTTGAAGGGGAAAAAAGTGTTTACTTTTGATGAAGCCGAACCTCCTTATTTTTCCCCTTGTTGCCCTTGTTTTTGGTGTCATATCTAAAAATCTGTTGACAATCTTATGTCATGAAAACATATTCCTGTGATTCTTCCCTTCTTAAACCATCTTTACCATTTTTAAGTGTACAGTTCGGCAGTGTCAAGTATATTTGCAGTGCTGTGCACCAGATGTTTAGAAAGTTTTCATCCTTCAACACTGTTACTCTATGCACATGAGACGCTTATTCTCACACTGTCTCCTCCAGACCTGGACCACAACCTTTCCACTTCCTTGTTCGGTGACTTTGACTACTTTAGATACTTCACATGAGTGGAATCATGTAGTATTTGTCAAGTTGTGACTAGCTTATTCCACTTAACCTACTGTCCTAGATGCAGGGGTGTCCGACCTTTTGGTGTCTCTGGGCCACACAGGAAGAAGAAGAGTTTTCTTGTGCCACACATTAAATACACAAACACTAACAAAAACTGATGAGCAAAAAGAAAAGAAAAGGTTTTAAGTAAATTTGTGATTTTGTGTGGGGCTGCATTCATAACCTTCCTGGGCTGCATGTGGCCCGTGGCCCGTGGGTTGGACAGCCCTGTGAAGTTCATTATGGTGGTAGCACATGACACAGCTTCCTGCTTTTTAAGGCTCATTGTAGGTACAGATCACATTTTCTTAATCTAGTCGTCTTACCCTAGCTGGTGTGGCTCAGTGGATGAGGGCAAGCCTATGAACCAAAGGGTCACTGGTTCGATTCCCAGTCAGGTACCTGTTGGTGTTTTGGGCCAGGTCCCCAGTAGAGGAACATGAGAGGTAACCATACATTGATGTTTCTCCCACTCTCTTCCTCCTTCCTTTCCCCTCTCTCTAAAAATAAATAAAATCTTTAAAAAAATCTAGCCATCCATTGATGGATATTTGGGTTTCTCCTGGCTGTTGTGAAAAATGCTGCAAAGAATGTGGGTATGCAAATACTTCTTTGAGATCCTGCTTTGAATTCTTTTGGATAGTGGGCTGAGGGATCACATGGTAGTTATAGTTTTAATTTTTTGAGAAAATCCCAACTTGGAGCATGTCCTTCCTATAAAGTTGTTTACATTTTTATTATATCTATAGACAATCAAATTATATAATGTGATACTTTGTGGGGTCATATATACCATTGTATTGTATGTATCACATTGCCTTAGACTTCTTTCAACATTCTGACTTCAGAATAATAAAAATTATATATTCGTGTCATTTAATTTTTGAGCTGTTTATAATTTTGCATTATGTGGATATGTTAAAAGTAATTTACAATGTCTCGTAGAACTTAAAAAATTGTAATTGACTGTAGATGCAAAGTTTTTCATTCGAGGCCTTTGAAAAAATTATCCATTTGCTAGACTTTAGGTAGTTGCTGTTGAAAGGTTAAAAATGCAGGTTAAAAATTTTTCTGCCCTACCTGTGATCTCCTTTGCTACATTAACTGATAACACACATTCTTGATCAACTCTGGA